ATACAAACAAAAATCAATTTCGTGAATACGTAGAGGTGACGTAATAACGTAAAAATTTTATGACATAACAATTAATTTTTAAACGTATTATAACGGCAATTTCAATTATAAATTTTTTTTCGTCTTTTAAAGCACTTTTATGATACTCGAAGCGTTTAGTACTGTGGTAGCAAAATGGAGCGGTTATACAAAAATTTCTTAGGTCAGGACGCCCGCAGAGATGCATTCCGTTCGTTCAACAATAGAAAATATTTCAGATAGAAGCCAAGCTTCACGTTAGCAGACTGTCGACTATACTAAAATGCAGCACTACCTCCGATTCTTCCTCCCAATCGTCGCCACGTGACCACCCTCAATTGTCCAATAGGGTGGTGGATATCTTAGTTCGGCACTTCGCCACCGGAGGGAGCAGGATGTATGGTTATAAAGCGCCACCACCGAAGCTGGGAGAGACGAGTTGTACGCTGTGCGTGAGTAAAGTAAGTTGGTTGGACCAGTAGGAACCACTAAATATTCAAACTTATTGGACTGATCTACTGCTTAACGAACCGGAGAAGTGTTTTAATTTTCGGAGATAATTTTTGTGAGATTTTAAAGGTAAGATATTCAGATAATTTTAATGATATTAAAAACAACCCCCTATGAAATATTTAAGTATAATTGTCAAGATTAAAATGGGGTGTTTTTTTTTTGTTTTTTCGATGCTTCCTTTTACTTCGAGTGACGGATTTAGGAGAGTTGCACGAGTTTTAAAATGTGTTTTATGTAATTCTAAACCCCCTATTGCTTATAAATTCGCTTATATATTAAACTTTAATATCTTAGAATGATGATAACTCCAAGTGATAGCAGTTAAATCGGGAGTGAAGTGCATCCACTATAACTCAGCGGGTTGTCCTTTACTTGTGTCAGTGGCAGATGACAGGGATTTCAAAACATATGCCATGGATTATACGAAGGATAAGATAAGCACTGATTTCCTATCATTATCACCTTATCGGGGATGATATTCTTTAGATTTTTAGCCAATTTAAGAGAGGTGAAAGAAAGGCTCCGAATAGAATTCCCTTGTATATGACTTACGGTTCAAACACCTTTTATAAGAGGTCGTGTTGCGACAGTCGTTGGTTATAAACAAACATCACGGTGTTAAAGCTTAATTGTGAATCGAACGTTACTTCCAGGTTGATTTCGTTTAATCAGCAAATTTTGATATTGTAGTAGTAGTGTTTTTATTTATCGTCTTTACTTCTTCTACCTATACGCAATAACGATTTGTATATGTAATTATTTACTGCGATATGGTTGGGAAAGAGGTTCGTGTTTAACGTCACACGCTGCTGTTTTCTACAGGGGGTTTCCCCCGCTGATTTTTACTTAGAAATTCTTTCCTATGCGACCTTCCGTGCTACCTATCTATAAAGAGGGGGGGCTATTTTGTGTTCCGTGATGTTATTGTGAAGATCCCGTATTGTATTGGATGTGGGTTGAAGGAAACGATCTATTTTTTAGATTGCTTTCCATATACCTGGCTCATTTTCGTCTTTTCCTCCCATTTTCCTTATCCCCCCTTCGTATAAAACAGTAAATTAACCATTGTGGAAGAGATAGAAGCGTGGAGGAGAAGCAGAACCGCAGGGGTTTCTCTGCTTATTTATACCACACGATTTATTATAAAAATCAATCTCTCTAATGAGAAACGAACCTCGCCCCACGAGGGGTGAAGTAGGATACAGTCGAGCGATCTATGTAAAAAATGTATAAGGTAAAGCTCTTTATGAAAAATTAATGATATCCAGTATTATACATTATCTAATGACCGCTAATTATACTTAATAGAAAGGTAAATTTATAGATTTTCGCGTCGGGTTTATACATCTTACTTTACTAAATGTTCTGATTTGTTTAATGTACTTCCCAAAGGCATACTTTCCAGGCAATTTAACTGTTAAACTTTAGAGATAATTTGTCTACATAAACGGTTACGATTCTACAAAACTATTTCCAGTTATAATCATCGAATAAATCCGGATAATCGATCAATAAAATAAGGAGCCTCATAAAGGACGTTACATAATCCATTTTTATCAAAGTTTAATTAGGAAATTAACCAATTTTTCAGTAGAAATCTCCTCCGTTATTATGAAATCTTGTACGGTACATTAATATACAGGGATGCGGAGTTTATCCTTTAGCTTGATGGCTATATAAAAGTCTCTTTTGAAGTCAACCGTAAATAAATATACAAAATCAAAATTAGTGCCGTAATTTATGTAAGAAGAAAAGATGGGTGTGTGCTTTCCATGTTAAAAATCTGAATTATCTTCTTGAATAGCAGCTTAATCCTTGAACATAATTAGTGGAGCGAAGTTTTGTATCCTCCCATTAAACTATCCTTAAACCAGTTTTTGAGGCTGAGTGTAACATCATTTTTTTTTTTTTAATTTTTTTAATAATAATTTACGCTACTTCAGCAATAAAATCAATTTCTAGAATATAAATTCTAGAATAAAAATTGAACAATTTTAAACAATAGAAACTAATAAATAAATAAATTTATTATTTTTTAAATGCTACTACAGCAATAAAATCAATTTCAAACGAGCTTTGACGTAACAATATAATTCATTCGTTTAACAATTAAACTGTGAATGGATTGTTGTATTAGATTAATAAAAATCTTATTTATTTATTTATTTTTTTATTGCTAAACATAAATATTGTGCTACTATAGCAACAAAATAAAATTAAGGAACGGATACTGATGCAATAATACATTTTACGTGTTTAATAATCAAATTGCAAATGCTTTATTGTAACAGATCAATAAAATTGTTTTATTCATTAATAAACTCGATGCTATTATGGTAACAAAAATCAATTTCGTGAATACGTAGAGGTGACGTAATAACGTAAAAATTTTATGACATAACAATTAATTTTTAAACGTATTATAACGGCAATTTCAATTATAAATTTTTTTTCGTCTTTTAAAGCACTTTTATGATACTCGAAGCGTTTAGTACTGTGGTAGCAAAATGGAGCGGTTATACAAAAATTTCTTAGGTCAGGACGCCCGCAGAGATGCATTCCGTTCGTTCAACAATAGAAAATATTTCAGATAGAAGCCAAGCTTCACGTTAGCAGACTGTCGACTATACTAAAATGCAGCACTACCTCCGATTCTTCCTCCCAATCGTCGCCACGTGACCACCCTCAATTGTCCAATAGGGTGGTGGATATCTTAGTTCGGCACTTCGCCACCGGAGGGAGCAGGATGTATGGTTATAAAGCGCCACCACCGAAGCTGGGAGAGACGAGTTGTACGCTGTGCGTGAGTAAAGTAAGTTGGTTGGACCAGTAGGAACCACTAAATATTCAAACTTATTGGACTGATCTACTGCTTAACGAACCGGAGAAGTGTTTTAATTTTCGGAGATAATTTTTGTGAGATTTTAAAGGTAAGATATTCAGATAATTTTAATGATATTAAAAACAACCCCCTATGAAATATTTAAGTATAATTGTCAAGATTAAAATGGGGTGTTTTTTTTTTGTTTTTTCGATGCTTCCTTTTACTTCGAGTGACGGATTTAGGAGAGTTGCACGAGTTTTAAAATGTGTTTTATGTAATTCTAAACCCCCTATTGCTTATAAATTCGCTTATATATTAAACTTTAATATCTTAGAATGATGATAACTCCAAGTGATAGCAGTTAAATCGGGAGTGAAGTGCATCCACTATAACTCAGCGGGTTGTCCTTTACTTGTGTCAGTGGCAGATGACAGGGATTTCAAAACATATGCCATGGATTATACGAAGGATAAGATAAGCACTGATTTCCTATCATTATCACCTTATCGGGGATGATATTCTTTAGATTTTTAGCCAATTTAAGAGAGGTGAAAGAAAGGCTCCGAATAGAATTCCCT